AGAGTGGAAGAAGGAGTGAAGGAGTGGAGGAGTAGAGGAGTGGAAGAGTGAAGGAGTGGAGGAGAGGAGGAGTGGAGGAGAGGAGGAGTGGAGGAGTGGAGCAGCCTTTTAAAGGACGAGTGTGTTTATCTTGCTCAGATTAACGCTCTTTGGTTCCAGACCAGGTTAAACCAGTTGAGTTGAAGTTGTCGGGTCAGATTAGATGAGGTTAAAGGGTTAAAGTTAATAATCTGTGGGTTATTGGATTTAATCTCAGTCTTTCTCTGTTTTATCTGACGTTTGAAGGATTATTGAAGACGAAGAAAATCTGTTCAGTTCCATTTAGAATAAAACCTGCTCAGGTAAATCTGAGGCTCACATCCGGATTAAATCTGTAACATCCGGATTAAAAGTGACGGTGCACATGGACTCAAGATTCTAATCTGTTCTCCTGCTGTCTCGTTTAAAAAGTCTTTAAACGAGATGTTCATGTAATTGTTTTCACATTTTAATAAACTGAAGTCAATTATCAGAAAATGTTTTTAAATGGACTTGATATTTTATTTTTTATTCAGGGAGACCCCATTCATTGTTTTATTCAAGATTCACTTCTGTTGATTATATCTAGAAAAAAGTGAAGAGAAGATGAAGAGTTTTCTGAGCGAGGCGCTAAATAACGAGTAAATAGGAGTTTAATTATTTAATGAAGATTTTAGTTGTGAGGAGGTTAAACAGTTTAACAGGTTAAAATAATGAGTTTGTTAATAGGTTTAATGGTTTAACTCTGTTCACTTTAACATCGGATCAATCAGTCGAACACAACCCACTAACATGCAGTGTGTGAGCGTCTGATGAAACTGTCGTCAAGGCAACTGAAGCTGGTCACTGAGGGAAATATTCAATCATGTTCATCATATCCATCCATCATCCATACATCCATCCATCCAATCTACATGTTAACTCTGTTTTTATTTAAACTACATATAAACTCTGGCTGATCTCTGCGTGTTTTGACAGCGACTGCTCGGCTTGTAATCAGATTAACCTTATTCGGACAAAGGTGAAATGTGACGGTCTTAATCCTAAAACTTTACAAAAATCCTTGCAGCTAAATCTTTGGAGTAAGTGGTTTATGAGGGTTTATAAAGAGGATGGAATCGTCCTAGTGTTAGAAAGCTCAGGTTCATGATGGGGAAACACTTCCACCTGTATGAGAACGTTTCTAATGTGAGTCCCTTTGATGGGCCCCAGTATTACCTGGCACCTCAATGGGCTTTTCACCTGCAAACCATCTTCATGGGCTCCGTCCTGTTCGCTGGCACTCCTTTAAACTTCATTGTTCTTCTTGTGACACTCAAGTATAAGAAGCTCCGAGTCCCTCTCAACTACATCCTCGTCAACATCTGCTTCGCAGGATTAATCTTTGTGGTCTTCTCAGTGAGTCAGGTGTTTGTCTCCACCATGAAGGGTTACTACTTCCTGGGTCCCACATTGTGTGCACTGGAATCTGCCATGGGCTCGATAGCAGGTAAATCAAATCTGAAGTTTTATGTTTTATTTTATTCCCTGTCAGCAACAGGTCAAAGTTCTCTTAACTCTGTAAACGTAATGTTTCCGTCTTGAATAAACTCCTCTTCAGGTCTGGTCACGTCGTGGTCTTTGGCTGTTCTCTCTTTTGAAAGATACCTGGTCATTTGTAAACCATTCGGAGCCTTTAAGTTTGGAAGTAATCACGCAGCAGGTGCTGTCGCCTTCACCTGGTTCATGGGGATCAGCTGTGCCATTCCACCTTTCTTTGGATGGAGCAGGTATGAGAGTGAGGTGTCATCTCAAAGTGCTGTGTTTAACATGAAGCACCTGAACGGGTCGTGTGTGTGTGTGTGTGTGTGTGTGTGCTCAGGTACATCCCTGAAGGTCTGGGTTGCTCCTGTGGTCCTGATTGGTACACACACAACGAGGAGTTTCACTGCAGCAGCTACACAAACTTCTTGATGGTGACGTGCTTCATCCTCCCACTCAGCATCATCATCTTCTCCTACTCTCAGTTACTGAGCTCCCTGAGAGCTGTGAGTTCAACCAATCAACCAATCAATCAATCAGTATTTGTCGTTAAACATTTTCATCTCTAGATAAAACAGAACATTTAACATTTTAGTAAAACACAGTTGTTGATGCACTTATTTATTCTCTATTGATAAAGATGATTGTAGGAGTAATATTGATTTAAGAGTTAACATGTAAATAGAATGTCTTCAGTTGCTTTGTCAGTGAACTATGTTTAACATGATTTATATATAAATGTGTATTTGTATGCATAAGCACATATATGTAAATAGACACACACACACACATATATATATATATATCCCTGTGTTTTCTCTTTTGTTTTATTTTTGTTGTTTTCATGTGTAAGTGGTAGGGTGTGTGTTTGTTTGGTTTTCATGCTGTCTCTCCCTCTCTTATGTTCTGATGATTGTAGTATATCCCCCCCCCCCCCTTGAAAACGAGATGATGGGTCTCAAGGGTTTAAACTAACAGACAAACATTGATTTTGCTTCCTGTTGTGTTTAGGTCGCAGCTCAGCAGACGGAGTCAGTCTCGACTCAGAAGGCAGAGAAGGAAGTATCGAGGATGATTATCGTGATGGTCGGTTCCTTCATCACCTGTTATGGTCCATATGCTCTCGCTGCTCTTTACTTCGCTCACTCTTCAGACACAAACAAAGACTATCGACTCGTCACCATCCCGGCATTTTTCTCCAAGAGCTCTTGTGTCTACAACCCGTTAATCTACGTCTTCATGAACAAGCAGGTGAGTCAAATATTACATTTCACCTTTAAACACACAGGTCATGGCTAAAGTAACACAAGCAGGAGACAGACGGGTAAAAAGGAAAGAAAAAGACAGGTGGACAGACAGATAAAAAAGAAAGGTGAGAAATATCAAATCTTCTGTTTGGCCAAGTGAGAACGTCATCCTTCATTCTTCTGCAATGAGAACAACTTTTAATGTCTTATATTTTAAATGTTTGAAATGTATGTAATGTTTTGTCTTTTCTTTTCTCCTGCTCTTTGTCTATGAAGTAACTGATCTTTGATTTTTTATTCATCAGTTTAAAGCCTGTATCATGGAAACAGTGTTTGGAAAGAAAATGGACGAATCATCTGAAGTTTCTTCAAAAACTGAAGCATCTTCAGTTTCCACAGTTAATTAATGTTTGAACAAAGTAAAAGTGATGTCAGATGTAAAATAAAGCAAACTGTTCATTTAACTGTAGATTTTTTTTAGATAAAAGCAAAAATAAAATATAATAAAAATAGTGCAATTGTTTTTTGTCATGGTTTTTTTTCGGGTGTATTTTTGTGCAGCCATATCTTTAGCTAGGAACGAGATGGATAGTCAGGGGACACAAAGAAGAACCCCAACCCCTGAGGCTGCAAGGCTCTCGCTCTACCAACTGAGCTAAGTAGACCTTATGAAAAGTAGAGAAAGGGGGGCTACAAAACAAAAAGAATCACCCACACTGGTTTTGGGTTGGGGGGTTTGGGTATCTCGAATCCCATTAACCTCCCCACACCGTCTATTGATTCTGTGGTTAGATAGAGGTTAAATGCAATGAAATGGCCGACGCACACCATCAAAGCTCTCCACTCTCACATATCCCCTTAAATCAGATTGTCATCAGTAGTGGACCCCTTATCAGTACACACCCTCACCCGAGGAAGTCCAAGTAAATTTAGTTCTATAATCTACTTCTAAGACTGAAAAGACTCCTGTTTTTGTTAAAGATAAACTGGTTAGGGTTAGGCTTAGGAGTAAGGATTAACTGGTTAGGATTAGGGTTAACTGGTTAGGGTTAAGGTAATGGTTAAGGATTAACTGGTTAGGATTAGTGTTAACTGGTTAGGGTTAAGGTAATGGTAAATGATAAACTGGTAAGGGTTAGGATTAGGATTAACTGGTTATGGTTAGGATTAGGAGTAAGGATAAACTGGTTAGGATTAAGGTTAAGTATTAACTGGTTAAGATTAGGATAGGTTGGGTTAGGAGTCTAAGCCATAGTGGAGATTCTGGAGGGGTACATTTGTGTGTTTTCTTACCACTGTTTAAGTTTGGGTGGGCATGAGAGGAGAATTATTAAAATAAAAAGGAAGCTTTATATAAAAATCCCATCATCCTTTAGGAGTAATGGATCAATTAGTAAAAACAGTCTCTTTATTAAGTTAAAAAATATATGTAATGTTTACAAAAATCAATAATTATGAAAGTAATAAAATATTATAGTAATTTAGGTAGAACCCATCTATACTAACGCATTAACTTACTGGTTAATTATTCCCTCTAATTATCCTTCAGGTAAATTCAGCTGTTAAAATTATATCAATTATTATTTATTCTTATATTTTTGTGATAATTAACATAATGAGGGAAGCTCTCTCTCCCACCCTCTCCATCTCTCTCCATCTCTCTCCCCCTCTCTTTCTTCTAGTTTAAGAGTTTTGTCTCTCTCAGTCGTCAGAGCTGCTCATTGTTGAACTGTTTTTTTCAATGCAAAGAGCTTTAAGATAATATGTTATGATTTGGCGCTATATAAATAAAATTGAATTGTACGTAAATACACATGTATATGCATGTGTGTATATATGCGTACGTTTAAATATGTATATTTACACAAATGGCATGTTTTCATATTGAGATTCTGACTTTTCTTCACATAAGTTTAAAAAAGTTTCACAAAAGACAAAACAAACTGAACAAACTTGAGAATATTTGTCTTCAGTCTCTTCTTCCTCGTGTGATGTGTGACTTCCTGTTGGTTCAGGTGAAATCCTCTTATGGTGAAACTTGACTTCTGAACGTTGATAGAAAGAGGAAGAAGAAAAAGAGGAAGAAAAAGAAGAAGAAGAAGAAGAAGAAGAAGAAGAAGAAGAAGAAGAAGAACCTGCAGAGAAACTGACTTCAGTTGAGAAACTTACTCAAACAGTCATCAGAAACCATGATTATGACAAAAACAACTGAGATCACATCAGATAGATTTTATTTCTTTAGAAAATCTGAAAAACAAATCATCGATTAAATCTGAGAGAAAAACAGTGATTGGTGAGAGAAGAGCTCTGATTGGTTAATGTGTAGAAATGCTGCTTCCTGATTGGTTTTTACAGACTGGTGGATTTCAGGACGTCAACCTTCAGGTCTTTGGCGACGAGTCCAGAAGTGACCGAGTGCATCTCCGCTCGATGAGCAACAAACACTCGGACGGCTTCATCGCTGAACTTTTCAAAGTTAAAAACCTCTCTGAAAGTTAAACATGTTGATTTAATTAGTGATAATTAATAATTTCATCAATCGGTCACGTGAGAAAATCTTCAAACTGAATCATACCTGAACAACGGTCTTGTGAACTTCATTCTGCCCTGTTCTGTCGCCATCTTCAGCGCCATGGGAACCGCCTCCTCCCACTTAGACCGAACACACAACCTCAGCCACCTGCGGAGATGTGGCAGCCAATCAGGACGAGCGACGGTTTGAAATGACTTAGCAGTTTTCAGGTCTCAAGTTCTCACCTGAAGCGGATCTCTGCGTTCAAACAGGCGTTCAGATCATAAACCTCCTGCATCTTCTTCAGGTGAGTCAGAGGAAGAGGATCCTGCAGAGACACACAGGTGGACTGAAGTGGACTGAAGTGGATTACTGTGCAGCGAAGTGGAATAAAGTCCAGTGAAGTGGATTACAGTGCAGCGAAGTGGAATAAAGTCCAGTGAAGTGGATTACAGTGCAGCGAAGTGGAATAAAGTCCAGTGAAGTGGATTACAGTGCAGNTGGATTACAGTGCAGCGAAGTGGAATAAAGTCCAGTGAAGTGGATTACAGTGCAGCGAAGTGGAATAAAGTCCAGTGAAGTGGATTACAGTGCAGTGTAGTGGACTGACAGGTTTTACCTCCTGAAGCAGGAGAGACAGGAACTCGATCAGCTGATGAGACGACATTGTCTTCAGGTCGTTCTCTGTGAAGCTGTTCAGATCTTTGGCCTTTAGGGGGAGAAGAGACACATAAGCGTTTAAAAACTCTTCCTAAAAAAACTAGTCCTTGTCAAGTCCAGGTCTCACCTTGATCCACCTCTGACTCAGAGCAATGCAGGCGTCAGCCAGTGTGGTGTCATACCTGAAACAAAGCGATCAATGAACTGATCAATAATCTGATCAGGTTTAATGAGACCTGAGGATGGACTGACAGGATCAACTTACTGAGGTTTGACAGGAGGCATCCCAGGAGTGAACATCCAGGCATTCCAGTCCACCTTGTTCAGGACGTCAACCTGAGACCAACAACAGAGAACATCTCTAAAACTGCTGCAGAACTCTCAGTTGTAACCGTGGTTCTCGAAGTGAAGAGACTATCTCTCCACTCAGTACATGTTCCATATGAACGGGGAACGATCCCCAAGTTTTCAAGGTGCGTGGATATTTCTTTAAGAGGGGACGATATGCGACACTGCCCATTTTACTAATGTATTTCACTATTTAAATACCAGTATATCATCACAATATCAGGTCAAAGCCTGACAGCACACTGAGGCTGAGCCCAGGAGGTAGAGGGGCTGTATGACGCGGAGGCCGAGCCTGTGAACAGGACAGCCACTCTAGCCAGCTTGGTAGCTGCTAGCTGACCAACATACATAGTACATAACATTGCATAATTAACATTAATTACATTCTATACATCAAATCATTCATGGGTCCCCAGAGCTGACCAGACTGCCCTGCCACAAGCTAATGGGGGAGGCTGGCTGGCAAGGATTCATGCCCTATTGAAAGGATAAGGGTGTGGCACTTTAGAGGCCTGGCCCATCTTTTTGCAAATGCCACTTTTAGCGCAAACATTGGGATGTATAAAAACAAAACTGAGTGGAGAATGTGTGCAGGGACCAGGTATGAACGTGGGACTGCACTTCCTTGTTTACTACTAGCTATACCTGGGATCTGGCAAGAAAGAGGGTCAACTAGCTTCGCTGTTGGTAGATAATGTCCAATTCTGCCGTCATGTTGGACACCATACTAAGAATTGAAGAAATTCAGGTTCTCTGAAAACTCCACACGGAGACTTTGGAAGCCGTCACTTCCTGACTCTGAGGGACTCAAAACAAGACAGACGGCTCCCCCTGCAGTTTGACACCTGAAAACCTATTTGGTGTTTCGTTCACCTGAGCTGCTCGTTCTCACCTTGTCTTTAAAGTATGTGAACAGGTAGTTCTTCCAGTCGTCTGTCGTCACACTGCTGTAGGCGAACAGCTGAATGTACGACTTTACAAAGCCCATGAATTCCTCTGAAAAAAGAAACATTTAAAAGGTAAAGAAACACGTTAATCACATACATGATTGTGTGTGATGTAGACGTGTTACCTGGACCACCCATCAGCTCCTCCAGGTAATACAGCAGAGCAAAGCCTTTCTCGTAAGGAACAGAGGAGAAGGCATCGTCAGGGTCGACGTCCTGGAGACTGGGAACCAAGTTAGTGAGAGGGTTGTTGACCCCAAATGTGTTCACCTGAGGAACGACACGTTCAGGTGAAAAGATGCAACTTCATAAGCACAGGTTTAAAATCGACAACAGCGTTCATGCTCTCACAGAGTCCTGCAGATCCTTCCAGCCGCCCATCGCCTTAAACTGTCGGAACTGTTCCCCCTCCAGACGCCTGCCAATCATCCTCTCCAGGTACACCGTGTGACCCTCGTTCAACCTGGACACACGACAAGAGCATCATCATCACCGTGTTTGTGTTTATTCCAAGGACGTCAAGTCGAGCTCATGTGTGTGTTTACCAGAAGTGTTCCCAGGTCTTGTTGGTCACCAGGTTCCCGGTCCAGCTGTGCGAGATCTCATGAGCGATCACCTGACGTGAAGAACAACATGTGATGAACACACTAACATTCACACACACGAAGCTGAACAAGTGAACAGTGTCAGGTTTCACTCACGTTGGACAGAGATTTATCTCCAGCCTGTAAAGAGACAATTATGTGATCAGAGGTCCCATGATACATTTATATGGGTCATGTGACGTGCTAGTATGTGCATGTACCAGCAGTGTCGGAGTGGCAAAGGTCAGACACGGGTTCTCCATTCCTCCGTATGGGAAAGATGGTGGAAGAACCAGGATGTCGTACTGACCCCAAACATATGGTCCAGCCAGATCCTCCGCAGTAATCAACATGGCCTCCGTCTGACGGGCACAGGAACACGAATAAGTAAATCACACAGGAACAAGTATACTTCATCATTAACCAGGAACATGTATACTTCATGTGTACTCACCTCAGAAAACTCAGACGCTGCCTTATCAACAAACTCTTTCTCTGACCACACTCTAGACCTTGGACCAATTACTCTGTCGACCAATCAGAACAAAGATACACTCTTTGACTTGCTCAGGGTTACATGATGACATCATTCAACAGGTGAGCGGTAGATTACCTGCTCTCTAGATCTCCAACCACGATTGCTATCAGGTAGGACGGCATGGCCACCTGAGGACAGACGTGATAATAACTTTAACGTTAATGTTGCTTTTAATGTCAGTCAGTAAGAAAGACACTTCAGGTTGTAGAAGAGAAACTGACCGGCTGTCTGAACCTGTAGATGATACGATTGTTGTCCTGAGGATCAACTTCCTGTCCATCTCTCAGTGCACTCATCACAGCAACCAGGTCCTTAGGTACAGACACCTGATGAGGACAGAGACACACCTGAGAAATGGGTACAAACACCTGACGTGGACAGAGACACACCTGTGTTGGAAGACACTGGTTGGTCAGGTATGTGTTACCTGAGCATAGTAGGTGTGTTTGACAGCTGGACTGTCCTGACATGGGACTATACTCCTGCAATGATGAGCCTGTGAGACATAAAGAGGGCAACAGAGGCTCATGAGGACAAATCAGGTCCCAAATAAAAAAAATAACAAAATGTTATTTAAACAAAAATGTTAAAGTGAAAAACAATTATAATGATTTAATGTGAATTCACAGATGGTTAAAGATCTGATTGTGAACCAGGACAATGAACGCATCACAGCAGAGACTTGGAACAACAAGTTTCCCTTAAACAAGGGTAAGAAAAGAGGAAGAACGAGAAAAGAAGAAGGAGAAAGAAAAAGAGGAAGGACATGTTGTCATCGTCTTCATCAGTGAAACAAACACTGAGATGAAGAAACTCACAAACATCTATCTGTTTAAACATCTGTGTGTGAACATCTGTGTGAACACCTGTCTGTTTAAACATCTGTGTGAACATCTGGCTGTTTAAACATCTGTGTGAA